GCCTGTAATTCCGGCTACTTGGAAGGCTGAGGCGGAAGGCTCGCCGGAGCCCAGCAGGTCGAGGCTGCAGTGGCCAGTCTGGGAGACAGAGTGAGACTCCAACTCAAAAAAAATAAAAAATAAAAAATAAATAAAATAAAATCAAAAGAATATTCCTGAAATAGTAGAACAAAATCATTTACTAGTCTTACAAAAGGTTTTCTTTTTTGAGTCTCACTCTGTTGCCAAGGCTGGAAAGACACCCGGCTATCCCAGCATCGACCTGATGGGCTCAAGTGATCCTTTTGTCTCAGCCTTCCAAGTAGCTGGAACTACAGGCACGTACTACCACACCCGGCTAATTTTTTGATTTATTGTAGAGATGAGGTCTTGTTAAGTTGCCTGGGCTGGCCTCGAACCTGTGGGCTCAGGCAATCCTCTCACCTTGGCTTCCCAAAGTGCTGGGATTACAGGCATGAGTCATGGCGCCTGGCCTGCACAAAAGATTTTCATGTCATCATGTTGTCAGCAAGTTTTCCTAGAGGTGCATGGATTCCCTATTACAACTCCACAGTTTTGTGTTCTTACCTATCTGAATAGCCTGTAGTTTTCAGAATTGTTTCAGTATCTTTGCAGGTCTCTTTTTTCCAATAGGAATCAGAACTGTCATCCCAGCTAGAGAAAGAACTGCTCCTTAATTCCATTGGCTCATCAAAGTACCTGTATGAACAAGAGTACAACAGTGACTTCAGAGTATCCTTCCTGGTGCTCACTCACATCAGGTTCTCATCTGGGGATGTGGGGATGCCTCCTGAAGTTAGGGTCTGTCATGTGAATAGGTCCACCAGTGAGACAGAAGCAGACATGGGGGTATTATTTCCATGGCCTTTCTTCCTTTCTTTCTTTTTTTTGAGTTGGAGCCTCACTCCGTTGCCCAGTATCGATCTGCTGGGCTCCAGCAATCCTTCTGCCTCAGCCTTCCAAGTAGCCGGAACTACAGGTGTGTGCTACCATACCCGGCTAATTTTTTATTTTTTGTAGAGATGAGGTCTCACCAAGTTGCCTGGGCTGGTCTTGAACTCGCAGGCTCCGGCAATCCACTTGCCTTGGCCTCCCAAAGTGCTGGGATTACAGGCTGAGCCACCAAGCCCAGCTTCCATAGCCTTTCTTTTTTTTTTATTTTTATTTTTTATTTGAGTTGGAGTCTCACTCTGTCGCCCAGACTGGAGTGCAGTGGCCACTCCCAGCCACCGCAGCCTCAACCTGCTGGGCTCCGTTGATCCTTCCGCCTCAGCCTTCCAAGTAGCTGGAACTACAGTTGCGCGCTACCACGCCTGGCTAATTTTTTGATTTATTGTAGATATGAGGTCTCGCCTGCCCAGGTGGGTCTCAAACCTGCAGACTCAGGCAATCCACTCACCTCAGCCTCCCAAAGGCGCGGGATTACAGGCTGAGCCACCGAGCCCGGCTCCTCCACAGCCTTTCAAGTCCTCTTTTCCCTGGCTACATGAAAGAAGTTGCATCTTCTAGGTGCTATAGTCATAGGTTTGTGGCACCTCTATCAGTCTAGACAATCGAGGTTCCACATGGAAGATAGATACTCTGGACAATCATCTCCACCACCAGATGATCTTACATGAACAAGAATAAACTGCCGTTATGTTAAGCCCTTGAGATTTGGCGAGATGTTTATTATCCCAGTATAACCTAGCATATCCAGATAAACCATGGTATCTTCAAATGTTATCCACTATGGGTTATATATTTCATTTTCTTCAGGTCTAGTTCTACCTGGTTAGGATGTCATAAACAATACTGCTGGGACTGGAGGAAAACTGGCCCATCCAAGGAGCTTCTTGCTGACAATCTCTTCCATGCTAAGCATGCTGAATGAAAATGATGTAAATGATGGTAATTAACCTCCTCCTGGAGTTGGATACAAAGCTATGGATCACTGATCACTGGACCATTCTGCAGATGCTCTTTTAGTCTGGAGCTTGTAGTAAACTTAATCTGATTTGTAAGCATCTCAGGAGAGGCTGACCGAGTCAGTTTACACCATCATTAGCCAAGCATCATTGAGCAGAGTATTGCTCAGAGTAGCACGCAATGGCAACTTTCAGTCCTGTGTGGTTAAGGAAAGATATTTGACTAAGAACAGCAAGGTCTGCCTGAACAGGACAGAGATTGATAGGTGAGATGGATGTGCCAGAACCCTGACAAAAAGTAACCGTGTGAGCCGGGCTCGGTGGCACAGCCCTGTAATCCCACACCTTGGGAGGCTGAGGTGAGTGCATTGCCTGAGCCCACGGGTTCGAGACCCACCTGGGCAACTTGGCGAGACCTCATCTCTACAATAAATCAAAAAAATAGCCAGGCGCGGTAGTGTGCGCCTGTAGTTCCAGCTACTTGGAAGGCTGAAGCGGAAGGATTGCTGGATCCCAGCAGGTCGAGGTTGCGGTGGCCGGGAGCGTGCCACTGCACTCCAGTCTGGGTGGTGGAGTGAGACTCCAACTTAAAAAAAAAAAAGTAACCATGTGGCCGGGTTTGGTGGCTCAGCCTGTAATCCCCCACTTTGGGAGGCTGAGGTGAGTGAACGGCCTGAGCCTGCGGGTTTGAGACCTGTCTGGGCAACTTGGCGAGACCTCATCTCAACAATAAATAAAAAAATTAGCCGGGCATGGTTGCGTGTGCCTGTAGTTCCAGGTAGTTGGAAGGCTGAGGTGGAAGGATCGCCGGAGCCCAGCAGGTCAAGGCTGCGGTGGCCGGGAGCGACCACTGCACTCCAGTCTGGGTGACAGAGTGAGACTCCAACTCAAAAAAAATTAGCCGGGTGTGGTAGTGCGTACTTGTAGTTCCAGCTGCTTGGAAGGCTGAGGCGGAAGGATCGCTGGAGCCCAGCAGGTCGAGGCTGCAGTGGCCGGGAGTGGCCACTGCACTCTTAGTCTGAGTGACAGAGTGAGACTCCAACTCAAAAAAAACAACAACAAAAGTAACCATGCCATGTCATTCATAACAACTCAGTATAGAAAAGCCATCCAGCCAGGTATATATACCTCGTGAAGGCAGATACCAAGAAATTTATCTATCAATCTATATATTTACTTTTGAGTTGGAGTCTCATGAAGGCAGATACTAAGACTTTATTTATTTAAGTCAGGGTCTCACTCTGTCGCCCAGGCTGGAGTGCAGTGGCACACTCACGGCCACCGCAGCCTCGACGTGGACTCAGGTGATCCTTCGGCCTCAGCCTTCCAGGTTGCTGGACCTACAGGCACGCACTACCATTCCCAGCTAATTTTTTGATTTATTGTAGAGACAAGATCTCACCAAGTTGCCCAGGCTGATCTCGAACACATAAGCTCATGCAATCCTTTTGCCTCCTCCACTCAAAGTGTTGGGATTACAGGGTTAGCCACTGCACCCAGCAGATATCAAGAAATTTAGAGGCTGGGCTCGGTGGCTCAGCCTGTAATCCCGTGCTTTGGGAGGCCAAGGTGAGTGGATTGCCTGAGCCCGCGGGTTTGAGACCTGCCTGGGCAACTTGGCAAGACCTCATCTCTACAATAAAAATTAAAAAATCAGCTGGGCGTGGAAGCGCATGCCTGTAATTCCAGCTACTTGGAAGGCTGAGGCAGAAGGATCGCTGGAGCCCAGCAGGTCGAGGCTGTGGTGGCCGGAAGCGGCCATTGCACTCCAGTCTGGGTGACAGAGTGAGACTCCAACTCAAAAAAAAAAAAGAAATTTAGAGAGAGGCAGATCCCAGGGAAATCTTAGGGAAGGGTGACAGAAGAGAATAGAGGCCTTAAAAAACATCACCCAAGCTTTCCCCAGGGGGTAAAGACAAGAAGCACACGGGAAACAAGGTGAGCTCCAAGCTCTCATGCTATATGGAGTCACACAGAGAGGGTGCTTATAGGTGGCAAGAAGGACTAGGAATGAAAGACAAACATAAAAGGGTGGCAAAAATATGTGAGAACATTTGGGAGGCTGAGGTGAGTGGATTGCCTGAGCCCGCGGGTTCGAGAAACGCCTGGGCAACTTGGCGAGACCTCATCTCTACAATAAATCAAAAAATGAGCCAGGCATGGCAGCGCGTGCCTGTAGTCCCCAGCTACTTGGAAGGCTGAGGCGGAAGGATCGCCGGAGCCCAGCAGGTTGAGGCTGCGGTGGCCTGGAGCGGCCACTGCACTCCAGTCTGGGCGACAGAGTGAGACTCCAACTCAAAAAAAAAAAAAAAAAAAGTGAGAACAAATAGGCTAGGGACCTAGGTCCCTATGCTAAGAAGAAATATTAAATGCTAAGAAGAAATATTCTCTTTTTCGTGACAGAAAAAAGCAAAAAGGAAATGGAAATAAACCTGCTGTTTGGAGCAGATGGAGTAATTTTATAGCCATAATAGAGAGAAAGCAGAATTTCTAAATGTGGCTTCTGTCTTCTCTGGCAAAAAGGTCATTAAGAACAAATCTCATTACAATAGCCTCTTCTTCTCAGGAAGCAAAGTGCACAGGAAGCAGCACAGGAAGCAAAATGCAATGTTCAAAGTATATCTAGATTTCAGCTAGAAACTGGCTAGGCTCTCCCTGTGACTGGTGAGTGGATCCACGGTGCACCCCAGGCTCTGCTTGGAGGAACAGAGATAACCAGTCCTCAGTCCTCACTCAGAGAAGAGAGACCAGGACATCAAAGGTACTGGAAGTCACATCAGAGAAGATTGAAAAGATGAGGGATGCATGCTGGCTGGCAAGGTGATCCTAACATGTTTAAGGGACCTGTTTGTAAGGGTCCAGGGAAAGGACTAAGACCAATTAAGTGAATAATTTAAAAACTTCTTTTTTTTTTTTTTTGGAGTTGGAGTCTCACTCTGTTTCCCAAACTGGAGTGCAGTGACACGCTCCCGGCCACTGCAGCCTCGACCTGCTGGGCTCCAGCGATCCTCCCGCCTCAGCCTTCCGAGTAGCCGGAATTACAGGCATGTGCTACCACGCCCGGTTGATTTTTTGATTTATTGTAGAGATGAGGTCTCACTGCCCAGGCGGGTCTCGAACCTATGGGCTCAGGCAATCCACTCACCTCAGCCTCCCAAAGCACGGGATTACAGGCTGAGCCACCGAGCCCAGTTTAAAAACTTCTTAATAAGCACCCACGAGGGGTCACGTACTCTGCTAGGAAGACACAGGGCAAGGAGATACTTTCGGTCCCTGCCTTCATGGGGCTTGTGAACTGATTTATGGAAGGGAGGCTGCTTTGAGTGTAAAAGCCCAGGAGCTGTGTCAGTGCAAGGCAGCATCTCTCCTAGAGATGCTCAGGGACTGAATGGCTTCCTTGAGAAGGAAGGGTTCAACAAGCCTGGACAACCCTGGAGGGTGCAGAGTGGGGCAAGCACCAGACTGGTGCAGGGTTAGTGGGTTGGAACTTCCAGGTCTTCTCAATTCTGAGATTCTGGCACTTAGAATTTTGCAGATTTAGTATCACTCTAAGAAAATAACATTATTCATTCATGTAAGCCAATGTGTTTATCCTGGAATGGTGGGGCTTCAGATTATTATTATTATTATTTTTTTGAGTCAGAGTTTCACTCTGTCACCCAGACTGAAGTGCAGTGGCCGCTCCCGGCCACCATAGCCTCGACCTGCTGGGCTCTGGCAATCCTTCCACCTCAGCCTTCCAAGTAGCCGGAATTACAGGCATGTGCTACCACGCCCGGCTGATTTTTTGATTTATTGTAGAGATGAGGTCTCACTGCCCAGGCAGGTCTCGAACCCGCGGGCTCAGGCAATCCACTCACCTCAGCTTCCCAAAGGTGCAGGATTACAGGCTGAGCCACCGAACCTGGCTATCAGATTATTTTTAAATGGTTGGACTCTCAGAAGTAGGAGAGACAGCCATCTGCTTAGAGCCCCTGACTGACAGGAACCCTTGAGGCAGCAGTCCATGCAAGGGCTGGGTGGAGTCCTCTCTTCCATTCACCCAGGAGAGGCTCTCCATGCTCTTGCACGACGCAGGAGGCACCGAGCAACTCACTGGGGGGACAGACAGACTTCTCAACTGCTCCTTGGAAGGACAGGATGAACGGAATGACTAATGGCTTTTAATCCCTCTTCAGAAACGCACCAGTCTTTCCTCATGTCCAGCCTTTACTGACTTTCTAATATTTTGATTTCTAGATTCTACTTCCAACACTTTTTTACTTTTACTTTTGCTCTCCCACTGTCTTCATTCAACCCTGACACTGTTCCTTAAACTCCCTCGATGAGAGCACCCTAATATTACATTTAATTTGACTTGGAGCTATAGACTAGTTGTCTAGTTTAATGAAGGCTACCCTGATTTTATAAGGCTTAGCAAATTGTTCTAGTTTCATTATCTGTATTCACTATATAATTACACTGTTTATATCCTGGAAATAATGGTACTCAATAAAAAACAAAAACCAAGGATATGTTTGATCTTATTTTTAATAGAAACAGAACTCTTTCATAATTCATAATATTCAAGTTCTAATGGGCTAATGAATAATTTGGAAGCAATAAGAGCTCTTCATGGAACTAATATGCTTGCTTTCAGAGAGTCCATGTTCATCTTACTTCAGTTCCCAAAGCACAATAGTATTCTTGTTCTACTAATGGAGGTCATCCTACCAGGGAGGACTAGAGAAGTCATTTATGTTCCTATTAGATAATTTGTGGTCATGATAAACAATCCCACATCAAGGTTTCCCTGGCAAGAGTCCTGGGAGTGTGGTCTATATAAAAACATCATTTGCTCCCAGGTTTCAAATTGTAAATAATAGTTTCATAGCAATAAAAGCCTTTAGGCCTCTTTTGACTAAGCCTTTAAAGAAGTCTAAAATACACCTGAAGTACTTACAAGGCAGATAACACCTTACAGGAGCCTGTCAGTGCCCTGGAGCTGTAGAGGATCTGGAAGTTCCCATTTAGCCAGTGACTTCACCTGGAGTCATTTCTCCTACCAACCCTGCTACCAAGCAACAGTACTGAATTAAATGGAATTTCTTTTTTTTTGTTTTGTTTTTTGGGGTGTTTTTTTTGAGGCAGGGTCTCACTCTGTCACCCAGGCTGGAGTGCAGTGGCATGCTCATGGCCACCACAGCCTCAACCTGCTGGGTTCAGGTGATACTTCTGCCTTAGCCTTTCAAGTAGCTACAACTACAGGCATGCGCCACCACATCCAGCTAATTTTTTTCTTTATTGTAGAGATGAGGTCTCTCCAAGTTGCCCAGGCTGGTATCAAACCTGTGGACTCAGGCAATCCTCTCACCTCAGCCTCCCAAAATGCTGGAATTATAGGTATGAGTCACCAGGCCCAGTCTATTTTCTTTCTTTTTGAGTTGAAGTCTCACTCTGTCCCCCAGGCTGGAGGGCAGTGGTCCGTTCATGGCCACCACAGCCTCCACCTGCCAGGCTCAGGTGATCCTTCCATCCCAGCCTTCCAAGTAGCTGGAACTCCAGGCATGTGTCACCACGCCCGACTTATTTTTTGATTTATTGTAGAGATGAGTGAAAGTGTTTAGTCTTTTGCCTCAGCACAACCAGTAGAAAGCATTCAGACGTTCTACTGCAAAACAAGCAACAGCCTATCCCGTGCCCCCTCCATCACATGCAAGACCAGGACAGCCCAACCACTCATGGTTTAGCATAATAATCTCTAGTAAACTTTCAGGTTCCTTGTTGAGGTTGAAGATCAAAGATCTTCAAATTCTTTGGCTGCTCAAAGTCATGAGAATTTGTGAGTTGCAAATGTCTGAGTTTGTGAATTGCAAATATCTAACAAGTTTCTCGCAGGACTCCTCCCCCTCCCAGGGTTAACCTAATCAGCCCTTTGTGACCTACATGACAACATAGATAAGCCCCACCATGGCAGCAATCAAGTGACTAACCCACCCATCTGCCTGCTGTCCATCACCTGACATTAGTACCTGCGCTTGCCTGCCCCTCCGTGATGACATGGAGGCAGACCACCACCCAATCACCTTAATGATCTTCCCCCATCTAGGGGGATGGTTAAAAGGACTCAAATCAACCACAAGCAATCAGTGGCCATTGCCTTGCCACTCTGGTGTGGCCGTGTGCTCTTTGAGCTATGGCTGTCACCACGCTTCCTGGCTTTGGCCCCTTCTATCACCTTGGGGAGGTGAATCTTCTTTCTCCCTTCTCTCTAATTTACTTTTAAATAAACTTTTCTTTCTTAACCTCTTTGTGTGTTGCAATTCTTTGCATTTACTTGAATCTCTGGGTTACCGGTGTTGCGCTTTCCTACCCCTCTCCTCTCTCTCTCTCCATCCATCCACCCTCACCCTGTCATACCCTAACAATGAGGCCTTGCCAAGTTGCCCAGGCTGGAACCCGTGGGCTAAGGCAATCCTCTCACCTCAGCCTCCCAAAGTGCTGGGATTACAGGTGTGAACAGATGTTTCCAATTTTACATTTTAAGTAAACACATTTCTCCTACCTCACATTTTAACTCTTATTGTTGATTTTATTATCATATATTTTAATACAATATTAACAAAGGTCCTTTTACAAATGTTTCTCCAATTTTTATTCCAAAGGATAGCCTTGGCTCTTAGCCAGAGCTTTTATTTATTTATTTTTTTTGAGTTGGAGTCTCACTCTGTTGCCCAGACTGGAGTGCAGTGGCCGCTCCCGGCCACCGCAGCCTCGACCTGCTGGGCTCCGGCGGTCCTTCCGCCTCAGCCTTCCAAGTAGCTGGAACTACTGGTGCGTGCTACCACACCCGGCTAATTTTTTGATTTATTGTAGAGATGAGGTCTCGCCAAGTTGCCCAGGTGGGTCTTGAACCTGCGGGCTCAGGCATTCCACTCACCTCCG